CCTCAGAGTATGAAGATTATAAAAGTAAGAACTGTGCATGATTTTCAAGCTAATAGCTAATTCTTACTTCTTGAGACATTTATTTTCCAAATTATGGATCTACCAGATTTTCAGTTGCTTTTCTAACTTGTTTTCTACTGCCCTTGCGTGATTTCACTGTTTATTGGTAGCCAATTCGTAGTAAACAAAGACATTGAGGTAGAAGGCAAACTCAGTCAAATTCCCAAGTTTTCCAGTAATAATTTCATTGGAATTAATAGCTGATAGGTGGCTTGTCCCTTTACATGTACCCAGTTTCCTCCATATCTGCATTGATCCTTGGCAAAAATAACTGAGAAATGATTATAGTCAAGAAGAGCTTACTCTTATGAAGTTAATATACATTCACAATATAAGCCAGCAATCTTCCTCCTAGACATTTAACCAAGAGAAACCCAGGCATATTTCTACACAAAAATCTGTGTATAAATATTTACATCAGCTTTAGTTATTACCACTAAAAATCAAAAAAATATAACTGTCCATCAACTGGTGAATGGATAAGTCAGCAGCATATAACGGAATACAACTCAACATTAGAAAGGAATGAATGACTGATACATGGACAATATGGATGATTCTCAAAGACAGACTCAAAACACTGTGTATCGTATGATTACATGATTAAATGACATTTTGGAAGACACAAAACTGGACCAAAACAGATCAGTGTTTACCAAGGACTGTGAGCCTGGAAGGAGGATAACTACAAAAGGCCACATGGAACCCTTTGGTGGTGATGGAAAATCTCTATACTTTGATTTCAGTGGTGGTTACAGAATGCAGCAAACATTTATCAAAGTTTGTTAGAACTCTATACATGACAGGGTGAACTCTATTCTACATAGATTATATCTGAGTAAACTCCCTTTCTTTTAAAAAGTACAGAACATTGTTTTTGACCTTAGGGAGCTTACAGATGGTAGATAAAGCAAGATCAGAGAAAAATATGATTCACGATGTGTGTATGTATATAAGTACATATTTAAAGTAGAAGATCTTACAAGACATTTGCTGTTATAACCTCCCCTTACGTGATATCTCTTGGGTTTAATTATGAGGCAAATGGAATGTAAAATTACCATGTATGAAGTCATATTTTCTGAGGCATTGCTAATTGTAGCACTTCAACACTCAATTACTTTTGAAGCGTGTGAGAATGAAAAAGATTGAGTTTTCTAATTGTGGTTGGCGAAATCTAATCAAATTCTCAGGAGTGAAAATAGATTTTTGCATCAGTGAGACTTGCCTTGTGGAAAGAAAGGGTACTCTTTTCTAGGGTTAATCTTGTGGTTGTACATGATGTTACTTTATCACAGTTATGCAGTTATCTTGTCACTTATCACTGGACCTGCAGTGAAATCACTGGAAAAAAGACCCAAAATTAATATTTTGGATGGATGACTTCCAACTTTTAACTGGGTTATAGCAGATGCTCCATACTAAGCTATGCATTCAATTATATAGGTTTTTCTGTCATTTCAACAAAGTCTCCTGGACCCCTGGTGCATGCTGTCTTGATTCACCAACACATAGCGGTGTCGATAAGTAATCTCTGTTTCTCCGAATGCATTTCAATACTTCTCTCTCCATTCCCATCTCTCTGGGCCCTAACTGACAATTGAACTCAGAATTGCAGCTCCCAAGGTGCTTGCAAAGAGGCATAATCTGTGTTACTCCCAAGCAATACCTTCCCCAAAATCAGGCAAAGAAGATAATCTATGAAAATTACCTCAGTGCAGCATGTTCCAAACGCTTTAAATAGACCCACACTGGGAGGTACATTTTGCATCATGACCCAGTACACACAATGGAAGTAAATATTAGCATATTTATCAAAACACTCTGATTTTTCAGTTTCAAACTATTCTTGTTTATTCTATTTTTCTTCAGTTGGTTGCAATGTGCTGAAATAATTTTACCCACTAACAGATGCAAACTGTAGTTTGAAGATCACTGCCATAGAAGATATAAAGCTTACCATTCATCTAAATATTATCTAATCTAAATAATAGTTCACTAGGAGGCATTTCACCTTGGCCACTTTAAAAGTACCCCTCTAATCCCCCACCCCCATGGGTCTGAATTTCTTTTACTGAGTTGTACTTTGGCTTAATGCTATAAGGCAATACGAGAATAATTCCTATGTTAATCTCTGATAATGCTATTGAGAACTTTGTTCACTACACTACACAGTCTCCATTCTATAAGGACCAAGTGTAGAAATCTTTCTGTTTTCTCTGTAAGGAATAATGGTGATTAACCTAGGATACCAGATTATTTCTCCTTATTAAAAAACATACTGTGTTTCCTTCCTCACATTGCCAGTTAGAAGCCCTAGTTTCGCATCGACTCTCTACCTCTAACAAGTACTTGGGGTTTTGTAGCTACAATTTGAGGATTTAATCTCACTCCTAATTTAGTTTTACTCTCCTGCCCTTTATTTTTTGCTTTGTGTCACATGTCTTGCTGGTCTAACATTCATTTTAACTTGTTTTTTAATATCTTTGTGTGTGACTTTAAATCTTTGTGAAACAAAAGAGAAAAAGATAAAGAGGAAAGAGCAAAGGAAGAGAGAGAGAACAGTCTCCATGTACAGCAAGAAGACTCAAGGTTTTTAGGTCTTTATTCCTTACATTTTCAAACTAAAATTATATGAAGGTACAAATTCAGAACACTTTGTCCTACCTGTATCCGAAACAATAATTATAAGAGAAACCATTTTGTTGATATCTTAAATTTAATATTAATTAATTGTATGACTTTACTTAAGCTGTTTCCTATGCAATATAAACAATTCCTGGACCAGTAAGGAATAACTTCAGGCAAAATCTGTAATTGTATATGATTTGCCATAATGCCAGAGTGCAGCATTTTCTTCATGGCAAAGAAAAGTGTTGAAACAGTATTTGATGCCTAAACTGAAAAGACAGTTTCTTCTGAAAGAAGCAAATAACAGGCATTTACCAGTGGCCAAGGTGACTGTGGCTTCAAATACATTTCTGAGTAACGAAATGTCAGGATATTAGAAGACAGATAAAATCAACCATGAAAATGTGTGTTTGGCTCTATTTCTTAAAAACCTTCTTGAAGTAGTTCAAAATAAAGGAAATTATTTGGTGAAACCAACAATGAAGTAAAATTAATTTTTTGATGATGTTTTGGAAAATCACATCAAACTTAGACTTTTTAAAGTAACACCCAAGCTGAAAGGTTGATTTATTACATCTATATTGGTAGAGTAGATTAAATATTAATATCTATCCCACTATTTTTGAGCAGATTTTATGATCTTACTATACTGTATTTGTTACTTTCAGGATACTAGTACATAAATAATCAGTGGCAACACCATTTTCTTTAGTAGCCTGTCTCTAAAAGCTAAATGAACTATTCTGATGCTACTTTGACTTCACCATTTCCTACCCTCGATCCAGTTTTTCATCACAACTACATGGTGATATCAAACAATGACAAAAAGCAGACAGCAGGAACAAAAATAATCTTATGGAGCAGTTTAAAAACAAAGGTATTTGTACATATTTGGTAAATAGGTATCTCAATAAACAGTAATAGGAAAAGAGATTGATAAAAGGACTGTAATTATGATGTACAACATCAATTAATTATTTGAATATTTTATCTCCATGTATAAGGAATAGTCTATGTATGACTAGGTTTTACTTATGCCAAGAAATTAACTCAGTAATAACGTGACAGTTAATAAATAACTTTGTTGGAGAAAGATCTAGTGAGAAGGGATTGCTTCCACCATCCTATAGCACTCTCTTTTTGGAATCATGCCTCTGTGCTCCCCTGGTTTACCTCCCAGATCTTCCAGTCTTCTTTATTGTCACCCTTTAGTCTCTATTGGCTTTGACCCTCCCTCGCTGCCTCAATCCAACCTCTGAATGTTGGGAGTCTGTCAGCACTAAGTTTTGGCACACTCCTACTCATAATACATACTCTCCCTGGATCATCTCAGCTATCACTGGAGTTTCACATACCATTTACTTGGCTCCCACATGTACATTCTAGTTGCAACCATTCCTATGCACTCTGACTATCATAATCATTCATTCAGTTAATATTTATTCAATTATTGGGTATCCACAATATACTAGGTATTATCTTGGGTACGGGAGATATAATGGAGAGTTGACAAAGTCCCTGCCTTCATGGGGCTTATTTTTAAGTGGGCAATCAGGTCATAAACAAAATAAAGTAAAATATTCATATATGTTGGAAGCATTCATTGCTAGGGAAAAATTAAGCAGGATATGGGGAGAGAGTGTTGAAGTTGAAGGTAGAAGCCATTCAAGTTGAGTGATCAGGGAGGAATTTCTGAAGAGGTAATATTTGATCAGAGACCTGCATGGAGTAAGCCATAAGAGCCAAGCAAAGATCATGGGAAGAGGCTATCTAGCACAAAGAACAGTGAGTTCAAATGTTCTGGAACAGGAACGGCATGGCAAGTTTCCGTGATGAGTAAGAAGACAAATGTGCCTGAAACAGAGTGAATGAGGGAAAGAAAGCAGGCAGATGGAATCTGAGAAGACAGTAGAGGCCAAAACAAGACTTGTCAGCCATTATAACAACTTTAGATTTTATTCTAATGAGGATACGAACCAATAGAGGGTTTGAGCAAGTGAATGGTGTGTTCTGAACTAGTTGCCAACTTGCTGTCTCTACTTGAATGTCTCACAGGTATTTCCAGTTTAACATGCTCCACACAGAACTTTTAATCTTCCCTCACCGAAAACAAAATATAACCATCTTACTCCTTCTTCACTTCCCCCCATTTTAGCAAATGATACGAAGAACTATCCAATTTTTCAAGCCAGAAACTTGCAAAATAATTCTGAATTCATCTATCTCCTTTAGCTCTCATAGCCATTTCATGCTAGGAAAAAAAAAGAAAAAGTGTATATATATATATATACACACATATATATATATATGGTTCTAAAGTTTTTATTGATTAGATTTGTGTACAGCTGTAATCCTTCCATCATACAGGTAATATATAATAACATTCAAATATCTGACACTAAAATAACTTATTGACTAATACTAATATTAACACACAATAGTTCTATCTCTATTAACAAGAAAAACCAAACCACTGAGTTTATCTTAGAAAACTTAAATTCAGGCCATTCTTTTATAATTTGGAAGTCTGAGTAATCCAGCTTTAAGATAACTTTCTCATTGTTGAAGTTTGCTTTGTCGATGTGTGATTTGGGACTTCCCCTTGTTTCAAGCCATTCCTGCATATGATGCTCCTTGAAGATGGGACCTTGCAATCGTCCTTGCACTGTGCTCCGGTCAGCGTTCTGGACCCAGCCTACCAATCCCAGCTTTTTACCCTCAGCCTGAGTATGCTTATGGAAAAACACCCCTTGCACCTTCCCAAAAATTTCATAACCCACTGATATCAGGGTGTCTCCTTCTGCCATGCTCAAACCCTCCTTGTCTTCCCCACTGGCCGCCGGGATTACTCTGGGACCACCAGACCAACGAGTCACTAGCAGCCTATACTTTTTATCTTCAAAACAGATGACTCTTCTACTTGCTTCTCTGTGCATCTCACAGAGAATGTCACCAACCTAGTCCAAGCTGTGATCATCCCTAACTCATGTTTCTAAATCACATCATAGGGGACAGATCTTTTATAATTTTGACTTTCTGTCAATAGCTTTCCCATGTTTAAAGGAAAAGCCATCCTCTTTGCCATGATCTACAAGGCCCTGCATGATCAGTTCCAGGGCTAGTCTTTCGCTGTTTCACACACTACTTTTTCCAACCTTCCTGTGCTCCAGCCACACTGACCTTTATCATTTGCTCAAACACATCTTTCTGACCTTAGGGCATTTGGCTTACTACTCTTCATCACTCTCTCATGGCTGGCCCTTTCTTATTCCTTCCATCTTAACTGACATGTCTCTTCCTCAGGGAGGAGTTCCCTGTTCACCCAATCCAGAGTTGTACTTCCCTGTTATTCTCTATCACAACACCCTGTCTTTTTTACTTTACGGCACTTCTCATACTTCATGAGCACAGAGACCATGTCTGTCTCATTCACCACTGTGTACACAGTCCCAGAATCATGCCTGGAGCACAGTAGGTACTTAATAAATGTTGAATGAAGGACAAGTTGGTATTGATGTCTCCTTGTGTCATGAAAAAATGTTTGCAAACATCCAAGATCATGTATTGTTTTAAAAAAATAAACATTTTTCTAAAACAACAGCTGGAAAAAATAATAAAATTAAAGAATTAAATCTTATTACCCGTTTTACTTGTACGTAAACTTGGTTACATATTTCCAAGGAGGAAAAAAAGATTCTAAGAAATAATTAAAAGTAGAACTAAACTAGTAGCAATTTTTTGAAAACCACACATTTCATGCATCAAATATTTTTTGAATGAAAGGGATAACATTTGAGTCTCTTCTGTGTCCTAGATACTGTCCTAGACATGTTCTTTATCTCACAACACTCATCCTCACAATCATCCTGTATCTTAGAAATCATTGTGCCTAATTAATAGATGAGAAAACTGAAGCTCAGAACTGTCCAGTGACTGGCCTGAGATTATACAACTAATTAGGGCAGAAGCAGAATTCAAATTCAGCTGCCAATTATGTTGCAGATACCATCTGAAAAAAAATCTACCTTTTTCTAATCATAATATTTTAAAAATGAATAAATGCCAATGCCATTTAACCAAAACTTAAAACATTGACTGAGAAAATGTTTTTACTTTGGCCTACACCATGAAAAGAGAAAGGGAAATATACTTTTTGGGCACTTTGGCAAGCACAGTGCAGAACCTGTAACAGGTCAATGACTGTTCATCATTTCAAAGATTTCTCAAATTTTAGTTATGGGTTTCTCTGTCCTAAGGTAAATATTCTTTCCATTAAACCTATAATTTTATTTTTCCTTGCATGAATTCCCTTAATTATTAGTTTCTTTAGTAATAACATTCAGTGTTTTAATGGCAGTTAGTACCTATTAGCATTTTTGTAAGATTTTTCAATGGCAAATATACCACCTATATCTTTATAAGTTCGTCTTCCAGTAGCCATTGAATGTATGATGGAAATAATCTATTATTTTCCTGAAGCTGAGTTTTTATTTCCTATTCTTGTTTAGTGAGCTCAAATATGCATGTAAAGTATACACATCTGACTGCCCAAGATGGGTGCATCTTCCTGGTATTTCAATATTCTGAGGAAAAGCTGTCATCAATAACCCATTATGAATTAATTATTCCATCTTTTTTTAATCTCCTCACAGTTCCTGAAACATGGTGGCACTTAAATATTATTTGTTGAATGAATGAATAAATGTATAAATGACCAAGTGAATGCACATGAGCAGATGGAAGATGTGCACGGATTTTTAATTTGAATATCAAACTCTCCTGTTCAGCCAGAGGCTATCAGTTTTTTTAGGAAGTTGTCCCTTTTTCACATTCTTAATATTTTATCATTTAATGCTTAAACCAATTTTTATCTTATAGCTTCATATCCACTATAAAAACACTTCTTATTTATTATAGAAAAAAAGAAAATATATGTAAGAGACAGGAAATAGAAATGATCAATAATGTCCTTCTTCTCCCACACATAGCCAAATAATCTACAAATTAAAAAATAGCACTCAGTACTAAAAAATAGTATTCAGTATTTAAGAAGAATGACAAATTGTTTCTTATCTAAAAATACAATATTAAACATACAACAAACAATTAAAATGCTCCTTTTGCTTTCCAGTTTGGTATTTGTTAATCCCTTATTTGCAATAATATTTGCTGTGTTCTATTTATAACTTAAAATGCATCATATACTGAGATAGGTTTTTTGCAGACATGGCACTGTGTGCTCTTCATAAGGACCTTTAAAGGAGGTACCATTCTCAACTATTTTTTACAGTGAGGAAACAAAGGCTTAGGAAGGTTAAACAAAGGCTTAGAAAAGTTAAACAATATAGAAGTAATTCAATTCTGACATGAGATGCAGCTGGGATTCTAGCTTAGGCTAGTCAGACTCTAAAATCTATACTATTTCCCCACAGTACTCGGCTGTCTATATTGGGTAGAACTACAGGATATTGCCAATATTCAACCATTTTAGACATTAAAAATGGAAAGTTTATCTTATTCTATTTAACATAAATATAATTCCTTTCTGTTATTACTCTAAAATCAAGTTCCATGACTTGCACAGGCATCAAAATGTCAGGTTAAAAGCAGGTATGAGACGATGGGGGTTCAAATCCTGACTTTCCGAGTGGCTAGCTGTAAGACCCTCAGCAAATCATCTTCACTACAGGATTATTTTTCTGTTGAAAAAAATAGCATTGCCCTTCCCTGCATACTTCATAGGAATTCACTAAGAGAAAAATAGAATATATAAAACTGTAAAGGATATAAAACATAAAGTGATTATTATAAACAAACCTAAATAAGGAAAATCCAACAAGCCACACTCCTAAGTAACAAATGTGAAAGAGGAGAATTAGAAACCAGTGTATAAGGCCCTAAAGAGCCCTCTACAGTGCTGTTTGCTCAGTTTTTGATAAGAGTGTCAAGGCCAAAACCAATCCTTCAAAACTCTGTGGCTAGTGATTCTGATAGTAAGAATCAATAACCTAAATGTCAACCAGATGATTCAAAATGTTTACACAAAAAATTGGCTTTATATGCAAAACCTCATCCCCATTCCTGGAAAAGAGCTCAAAGCTGTGTAAGAAATTGTTATTGGTATACTATGTAAAAGCCCTAATTGAGATTTCAAGAAGCTCCGAGCATTCTGGGCATCCTACATAAATCCAAAGAGAAAGAAATATTTCCACTGGCAAAATATCAAATCCCAAGAACATGTGCCTAACCTGGAACAGGCTTCTTTAACAAGGACTTAGAACTCTGAGCTGTCCTTGAGGATTCATCTTTTTCTTTTCTTTTCTTTTTTCCTTTTCTTTTCTTTTTTTCTTTTCTTTTCTTTTTAAAACAAAGTCTTACTCTGTCGCCCAGGCTGGAGTGCAGTGGCGTGATCTCTGCTTACTGCAACCTCAACCTCCCGGGTTCAAATGATTCTCCTGCCTCAGCCTTCCTAGTAGCTGGAATTACAAGGACCTACCACCACACCTGGCTAACTTCTGTATTTTTAATAGAGATGGGGTTTCACCATGCTGACCAGGCTGGTCTTGAACTCCTGACCTCAGGTGATCCACCCACTTCGGCCTACCAAAGTGCTGGGATTACAAACTGGAGCCACCACACCTGGCCCTCTTTTCTATGCTTTCTGGAAATGTCAGTTATACAGCATGAGGGACTCTTTCCCTTCTCCAAAAATATTTTTCCAGTGTGATTTACACTCAAGATTTTTCTTCCTTCCAGTCCTTTTGGAATGTGAGGTAACATGAATTAACATATTTTCTAAACAATAAAGCCCTATACAAATGGAAGAAATCTTTATGATCACTTCCTGAGCTAGACATAGAAGCCACAGTTCTCTCTGTACCCTTCATCCAAGCAAGAATTTAAGGGAGAACTTAACACATAAGTTATATAAAGATTCATATTTTTTATTTCTGCTGCAATAGAAGAAGATGTCTTCAACTATTAGGTTTATATAACTAAAGAATTTGTATAGCACATTGATCCAATTTTAAATCTGGTTTGAAGTTGGCATATGTGCTTCTCTCATTAAATAAGGTAAGCTTCAAAGCTCCTGCATATTTTTTAAATTCCTAACTTGAGTCCATTTTCTCTACATGATTATTCAGAATATTTTCTACTCTATTTATATCTGTTTCACGCTTGCCTTCACTACCCTTATCAACGACCTCACCTCCTACAGTTTCTTCTATGGTAATATCTCCCCTCCCCTACCCGTCTTCTCCTCATCTCTCCTTCTCAGAAGAAGGTGGGAATTTCTTCCTTTCCAAGGTAGACTCTTCCACGAGGGGTTCCATTTATTTCTATATACCCTCTCTTCCTTTTCTCCTTTATCTTCACACATTCCCATCCCATCAGATGGGATTCTTCCTTATCCCTAAGAAGAAAACAAAACAAACTAGAAGCAAACAAACAAACAAACAAACAAAACAAAATAAAAAAAGGTTCCTCCATTTTATTCCCCCTTTGAGTTACCATTCCATGTTACGTATTCCTTGACATCAAGCCCTTACAAGAGTTACATACACTCATTTCCTGAACTTCTTAGCCATGTGCTGTTAACCCTGTAAACATGATTCCTATTTACCCCTTTCATTAATCTTCTAAAAGTCCTGTCTCAGAGATCTTTAATGAGCTCTAATTATTATCTAATTTTCTTAATCACCAACCTACAGGACCTCTTGGCAACCCAACATTGTTGACCACATCCTCCTAGATATTGTCTTCATGGTTAACTCTTTACGCTATCTTAATGCTAATTCTTCCTTGACATTCTGACACTTTTTAAAGTTTTTCCTTTCCTTTTCTTCACCCCTTAGATATTGATTTTTCTTACAGTTGCATTTTTAGATTATGTGTATTTTCTCACTATACATAATCACATGGATTTGTGCTTTAATTATCCTATTTGTACTGATCATTCCAAAATCTTTAGTCTGTCTTGGCTTCTCTCCTAAGCTCCAGATCCAAATTTCCATGTCTGTTTTGGACATGGTGACACATATACCCCATATACTACTCCTCAGACTCAACACATGTGATTAAGACACCGGGTTCACTAGCAGACAGAAGTCACCTCAAAATCTGACCCTACCTTTTTATAAGCTGTATTACTTTAAAGAGGAATTAACTTCTCTGAGCCATATTTTCTCATCTATAAGTTTGTATTTATAGATGAGAATATGTATTTATAGATGAGAATATATGGCTTGGAGAAGTTAATTCCTCTTTAAAGTAATACATTTCATATATTGTATCTATATATATTGTAGAC